GGGGTCTGCTAAGGGTGTGTTGGCCCTGTGGGGTGGGTTGCCTGAGGGGCTGTTTGAGGGTTCTAAGGGGCTTGCTGGTATGGACCATTTTGCAGCATTTTTCTGCGTTTTACAGTGGTGTTAGGTTGCAGGGTGTTTGGGTCAAGGCCCCAGGGGTGTTTGGGGGTCCCGTCGGTGGGGTTTGGCGGGGGAAACACAGGAAGTTGAGCAAGAAGACGAACCAAGTCCGCAGAGGTGCACAATTCAATTGCAGAAAAGCATTACTTCAACAGGAAGATGAACAAGAACACGAATCAAGTCCCCGACGTTTGACAAAACCGAGGCAAGATTCGAGCCCACCGGGGCCACCCTGGAAATGAAGGAGACTGAAGAATAGGAAGAAGAAGAAGAAGACGAAGATGATGAAGAGGAGAAGAAGAAGACGAAGACGACGACGACGACGACGACGACGAAGAAGAAGAAGAAGAAGAAGAAGAAGAAGAAGAAGAAGATGCTGCCTTTCTCTCACTGCTTCTGTAGTGCTGTTACAGACACACAGACTGACTGGAGAAGGCTGAAAGCTGCAGCCTTTCTTGAATGGTGGAGCTCACTCTCTCTCTCTCTCTGCAATTTTCTTGCTTGCACCTCATCCCCTCCACGCTGCACATGTCTCCCTCCCAAGCACAGCAGCTCACACTCACGGCTGCCCACACTAACGGCTGCCCACAATGCCACCGCGAGAGAGTGAGAACATTGTGGGCAGCCACAGTCTTAATAGCCTGGCCGACCGTGGGAACGTCGGTGCCGACAGGTCGGCGACCTTCCAAGCCGCGCGGCGAACGACCAACCACCCCCCGACCGGCAGACCCCAAAAACGGGGCCTTTGCAGTTCGGGTCGCCGCCGCTGAAAAGTGCGGCACCCTGACTGCAGCCGACATGTCGCCGCAACCGACCGATCGGTCGGCGGGTCGGCGGCCGACGGATTGCGGGGCGCCGACGGTCGGCGCGTGCAACACTGCCCTCTTGTAGAAAATAACAAAACAGAAAAAGAAAACCACTCTCTCTTTATTGAAGTTTTTTTCTCAACAGGGTTCGAAGTTTGAACTCTGGATCTCTTTGTCAACATTTGTATGCGTCTACCGTTCAGCCATTTGGGCTTTAAGGTTACAATACCCATTACCTAGGATTCTGGCCGGGCAGCTGGGCAACTCGCCTCGCTCAATCCAGGCCATGTTCAAAGTCCGGGGTGGCTTCCCCCTTCCCCTTGGCAGGGCGTTTCTGAGCCCACTGAAAGCAGCCCAAATCCAGGCCTTTTTTTGTTCTCCAGTGTTGTAAGTTGGGGGGGAACAGGGGGGTATTAATTGGGTTTACACCTGGGCTACCAGCCAGGCCGGTCATCCTATTTTCCCGGGCGGCCCGGTCGTGCAAGGACCACGGAAGGTCCCAGCAAAAAAAAAAAACAAAAAAAAAAACGAAAGAAACTATGTTATGCAGAAAAATAAAATGAACAACTTTTGCCTCAGGGTCACGTCGAAATTCCTTATCAGATTTAAAATACAAAATAAATTTAAAAAAAAAAATAAATTATTTTTTATTTTTCTGTCCGGCCGGGCAAGTGGTCCCGAGCCACTCTGGTAGCCTAGGTTTACAGAGGTTTCAACTTTAAAGGGGTTCCTTGGTTTAATTTTTGAATTTCCTTTTATTTTCAGATTCAGAACGGAATTCTGAGGTGATGCTCAGCCAGAAGTTGTTTGCATTGCAATTCTGCCCAACGCAGTTTCTCCCCGGAATTTTTGGATTTTTTTTTTTTTTTTTTGTGCTGGGCGCCCTGGCCAGGCCCTTGCTCAGCCCAGCTTTCCAAGCACCCATAAGCACCCCGCACGGCCAAAAAGGTAAATGCTACTGTAAATTTCCAATTCAACAACCGGCACATCAACTCGTTTGTTACAATCCAGGCTATCTTGCAGTGCAACAACTCGAAGAAAGACAAAACCATTCAATTGCAACTGAAATGAAAGAAGTTGGAAAGAGAAATAGACAGAGGAAGAGGAAGAGGTAAGAATGGAAGAAGAAGAAGAAGATGAACACCAGCAAAGACCAATGTCAAATCCCCCTTCATCTCGCCACCATCTCCAACCTCCTTTTACTCCCCCAACTTCTTCTTTGACAAGAATAACAATAAAAAAAATGCAAGAATGAACCACAAGCAATGTTTGAATCCTCTCCTTACTGCCAGCCACACCTTCTTCCTCCTTGCCCGGGGTAGGTGGCTATGGAGGACTAACATAGCAAAGCTCCAATGTCTGAAGGACAACACAAAGCTAACGTGCCCCTTCTACTATGGCCGCCATGCCGATCACTACCCCCGAGTCTTCCTTGAAGAAGCCGACTCCAAATGGGGCCTTCCAGGTGGAGTGCCAACCAAGAAGAGGAACATGCAGACAACCATAGCCAGGTAAGCACCCCCGCCACTCTCCTCCTTGCTCACCGTCTCTCTCCTCTTCCTCCTTCTCCTTCCGCAGCACAGCAGATAAAAACCAAGCATATAGAGTGTAAAGATAAAAAGAGACCAAAACATACAGCACAGAAAGGAATGCACATCCCATCAGCTCTAGCACATTTGGAGTCTGGAAAGGGATCTCCATTTGTCGTCCTGCAAGGGATGTCCAATTGGCAACTGATAGACATGCCAGGGAAGAGGAGTAGAGCTCCAAACCAGAGAAGGGGACAGACGCAGTCATTTGGTTGGTTTGGGGGGGAGGGGGTGTGGGGGAGTGGTTGCATATAGGACCTGGCGGATTCTTCCAGGGTCACCCAGGATGATCTTGGGAACAGGGTCTTGGACAAGGGCGCTCAACTCCAACTTCTTCTCCCGTGTTTTCTCCCCAAATAAGCTCAGAACATCATCAATCTCAGCCCTCAAATTGAAAGCCACGCACTCCAGCTCCATTCGCCCCGCCTCAATCTGCATGCCGTTAGAAGAAGAACACCAACCAGAGATCAGATCTACTTTGTATGTATTCGAGATGGTTGGTATAGGTTTGTGACCGTGGTTTGTGTTTGTACTTAAAGGAGAGAGGAAGCGAGGCATAAGTAGACAGAGAAGAAAGAGTGAGGAGAACACATATGGCGTCAATGGCTACATGATCTAATGCCATGTATTTGGTTTCGACAAATGGTTCTATCACTCTGACGATCCCGTGTTCGAATGTGGATACAATCAGGTGAAGTTCTGAAAGGTTCGGTTGAAGACGGCTGCAGAAACATGTGCAGAGGACAGAGGCCATGAGGAGAAACACTGACCAGATCTGCTTTCGGTGTTCACTGTAACTGTTCAAAGCAGCAGGAAGCGAGGATGACCACAACACTAAGATTCCCACATTTCTACATGCAGAGTGTTTTGGCAAGCAGAACTGGCGATAAGGGATTAGCAGAAGTCCCACATTTCTAACCCAGAAACCACAGAGGGTGTTGATTGATACAGACCGAGGGATGGTTGCATGCTGTCAAAAGAAGAAGAAGAACCAGTAATCAGGTCTGCTTTCACATATTACTGCCGCTGTGTGGAACATGCGCAGAGGAGGAGGAGGGCCACGAGGAGGAACACATAAGATCTGGTTTTGGTCTTTACCATAGCTGCGGTGCATCGCACTCGTGCGCCACACGGCACAGCAGCGCATGCCTCACGCGCACCTGATGCGCCGCACTGCCAAAAATAGGGCCCCTCCCCCAAACAAAAGTCCGGGGCACGAAAAAGTGCCCAGTCCCCCTCTCCGGAAAAATCAAGACAAGGCTCCACAAAAACTTTTTCGGGGCCATGCAAAGGCCCGAAACAAATATGGGTGGTCTCCTTCCTGCCTGAGGTGGTAGTGTGAGTATGCCCTAAGTGATGAGATCACGTTGTATGCTGTCAGATGACCCAACGAGTCCTCATCATTCCTGTATCAGATCGACCATTAGGGCTATGGACACTGGAAAACACTAAGAGACCCTGTCGAAGTTCACGAAATCGTTAGTCAACTTTGACTGGGGCTCTTAGCGCTTTAGACTCTTTCAAGTGTAAGGCGGACTATTCAGGCCGATACAGTCATAATGAGGGCGTTCCACAACAGCGACATAGTGTCTATACACGCACCTTCATCATGACTGTGTCAGAGGTCGCACCTTTCCAGGTCTGTGTGTGTGTGTGTGTGTGTGTGTGTGTGTGTGTGTGTGTGTGTGTGTGTGTGTGTGTGTGGAAGACCTGCAAAGCAAGCGGCACGGGCAGCAAGGCAGCGGCGGAGCGTAGACAAGACAGTCTACACATCCAACACGGAGCGAAGCGGCACATGACGTACTCACATCACGATTGAACCCCGCAGACTGTTGGTTCCCACCGCCCGCTGAGCCAGGGGGACACTCCGACGACCATCCGTCATCACCGACAGGCAACACAGACATCCCAAGCCGAGCAGCCCCCCTAAGAGTACAGTAGGCACTCCAAACGAGGACCCACCGGCTGTTTGGCACTGCTACAGGGTGCTCGGCTAGAGACACAGAAAGTACTTAGAAAAAGTAAGAGAAAGAGGAAAAGCAAGCATACCGGAAGCTGATTGTGTGTGTGTGTGTGTGTGTGTGTGTGAGAGAGAGAGAGAGAGAGAGAGAGAGAGAGAGAGAGNAGAGAGAGAGAGAGAGAGAGAGAGAGAGAGAGAGAGAGAGAGAGAGAGAGAGAGAGAGAGAGAGAGAGAGAGAGAGAGAGAGAGAGAGATTCCCCCAATTCCACCTAATCCTTAACTAACCTTGATTCCCGGACCTCTCCTTAACTTTATTAGTCTTCTCACAAATCCTTAACTCTTCACACAAGAGTAAGGTTGTGTTTCCTCAGGTGCTCTGTTTTCGTTGGGTTTCTGATCGCAGGTGCACAAGAACGTGTAAGGTTGGAAAAGTTCTGCTACACCAGACGTCTTTTCCTGGAGCGACATGGCATGAATTTCTGTGAGTTTTTGGAACACACTTACGCACACACACACACACACACACACACACACACACACACACACACACACACACACACACACACACACACACACGACATACATGTGCATGCGCCCACAAGTGCACACACCTTTGAGAAGTCCAGTACGTCATTGATGAGACTTATCAATGCCTTGCCACTTGATTTCGCTGTCATAACATACTCCATCTGTGTGGCATCCAAGTTCGTACCCAGGAGCAAAGACATACACCTGCAGCCCCAAGTTCCATCCATCCATCCATACAGTCCCTGTCAGTTGGGCAATATCATCGTCTTGTCGCCATCTCCCTCTCCCTGTCCTCCCCAATAACTACACATCCGCACCTTGCATCCTGTAAAGTCACGACAATCATATCCACACAAACAGTTTAAGCATCAGGGGGGACTCTACATCTCGGCAGGGCTGCTTACAGGAGCAGGGACAAGGTAGAATCGGCTAGATGTCTGGACCTGCTGAGTTTCTCAGTGACATCATTGGCCATTTCCACCTGTTGTTCTCTAAGCCATTTCCGTATGTTGTTCTCCTATTTCTATTCTTTAGGCTGTTGTTGAAAGTCAAAGCAGGACATAAACTTCCCCGCTGAGTGTTGGTGCTGAACCAGATTTTGCACCACATTTCTTTCTCCAACATGGAAAACCCACCAACCCTTCTTACACCCCACATAGCAGCTTGGCATACCTGTTCAGCCCAGGTGAAGTTGCAATACTTGACTGGCCAGTTGTTTCTGCGTCGAAAACAGACTTTATTAAAGCCACATGAGTTTGACGTGGACAGAGCATTTGGGCAACTTACTTCACCCTTTACCTTCTGCGGTCAGGAAGAAAAAGTCATGTGAAGGTTACCCTCTTGAGTTCTTTGCACACTTTTTTACCCACAGGGCCACAGACTAATTCATGTGAAGGTCAACATTTGGGAGTTGAGGCACTCAGAAGACGGGAGGTCTCCTGGAGCTCTTCTAGTGACTTACTAGAACTCCCTTCACTCAAAGGTCAAAAGGGACGAGCATCATTTCTAACATGCTCAATAACCGTAAACCAGTCCGTTTCCCAGGTACCTTGTTCGGACAAGCCCATTAATACAGCACAAAATCGCAGTTTAGCCCTGCCACAGGGAAAAGACTAGTGGTGCCTGACAAGATAAGCCCGTGCCAGTTCGTGTTTTTTGCAGGGCTGGGCAGCACAGCGTATCGGAGAAAACAGGGTCCGATGGACTGGTGGTTTAAACAGATTCTAAGCTCGGCAGTCAGGTGGCTCCGCAGCATATTGCCTATTGATGGCAAGAGTACACAGCTCTTTACCAAATTCCGCCAAAGAACCGGCAGAGGTTGGGGAAGGCAGTGGTATCTCCCCTTTCCACCAAAGAACGGGTAGAGGTTGGGGAAGGCGATGGTACCTCCCTCTCACCTTACAGGATGATTGACTCCGGTGAACAGCAACCCAGCTTTCAGAACATTACTCCCAATCTCCCACAACATTCCTGCACATTACATACACAATCTGGCGGTCTTCATATGGATTGGCTTTGCTGCTTGTGCTCGCAATGCCGTCACAGCAAATACCGTCATGCCAAAGACATAGTGGTCAAACTTCAAACCCTGTCGACTACAGCAGTATCGTTCCTGTTTCAAAAGAAAGACAGGAAAAAAAAGTACTTATGGCAACTTACCCAATTACTCCATTCATAGGTGTCCTGATCTGAATATTTGTCGAAGATTGTTACCGAAGAACAACAGTCACAGAGGTTCCGCAGGAGACGACACAAGCCAGGCAGTACAGACAAAAACAAACTGCGTTAGCTACAGCACGGCACACTTCGCAGTCGTACACGTAGGTCGCCTGATCATAGAGAAGAACATGAGCAACCACTGCTACATCATCAAACACAGTCCGTAACGAGACGTTAATGAAGGACAAAGCCTTGCCCATTGCCCTATCACACCCAAAACATCGAAAAGGGTCAACATAACTTTTAATCACATGAATGCTAAGACATGCATCACCACAGTACATGGCACACTCGTTACACAAAACACAAACTGCCACTACATCCAAGCATCTCCCCAGATCCCTCTGGACTTGAGGGCTGGTATACATGAGGGATGTTGTCATAATCAGGCTGTACCAGCTGGAACAGAGAGAACCTATGGAACCCACAGGGGAGAGTCGGAGCTTCAGGACAGTGACACTTCAAAACGCATGAGGACAACTGAAGAAGACAAACACACACTGAAGATTGGGTGAGCTCTCGGCAAGATAGCCTTTTTTGCTATACCTTTTTCTCACTCCCAAACCATCAATGATCACACACAATATACAAAGGCACTTGAGGGTCAAACTTTCTCTCTCAACTGATAATCACCAACTAGTCACAGAAAGCTCCACTCAGCATCACGCAGCCATAGCTGGCCGCACCATCAATGACAAGAGCCTGGCAAAGAAGGGCCTGTGATGACATCGGGTCAGCAAGAAGCTACAATAGAATAGAGATCGTGATTATAATCATGATAGGAAGAACAACAGAGGTGAACATGATAAACATCATAAACACTGGCTCCATGCTCCATGGAAAGAGCAGACTAGAACACTTCTCACGTCAGTTCGAGTCCAATAGTGAGCTGCAACCACCTAGCTCTCTCTCTCTCTCTCTCTCTCTCTCTCTCTCTCTCTCTCTCTCTCTCTCTCTCTCTCTCTCTCTCTCTCTCTCTCTCTNTCTCTCTCTCTCTCTCTCTCTCTCTCTCTCTCTCTATCTATCTATCTATCTATCTATCTATATATCTATCTATCTATCTATCTCCCCCCTCCCCCCCCCCTTCCATTCCTTCCTTCATCTGACATGTGGGCATTTGCTGTCACCAATCAAGTGATGTTGAGATGGCCCATGACACCTGCACTGGCTGCAGAGCTGGGAGCAGGTAGAACCAGCTGCTGTCAATCAGTCACAGCAGAGAGCTATTGATCACCTCAAATGGGATGAGAAATTGAGAGCTACAGATCGCACAAGGACTATGCAAACATTCTAGCACGAAGACCGCATACTCCGATTCCTTCTGCAAAGGCTGCAGGCACCTCCGAAAACGTTTTGAGGGAGGCTTGACTGGGTGACTGTTCTGAAAATTCAGCTCGTAAATTTGCTATTTTCACGCGACGGGAGCTATCGCAAGTTCTCAATCATTTCTCATTGGGCGTTTTTCCCTCTAGGGGTAGGCCCACCAGACCATGTCGATGTGCAACGCTTCATGGACAGTTTTTCTTCAGGGACATGCCGACCAGACTTTGTGTTCACGTCGAAAGCATGAGCATGTCGTAGATAAGTGAGGTCCATTGTCCCATGGCATTCAAAACAATTAGTAAATCTACAAACAACGTTTGTAGCTGCGAAAGCAACTCGTCCTGAGCTTGTGTCGTGAGATGTTGGGTTACAGCCAGCACACGTACAAGACACCGCTGTCTTCCGCTGAATCAAACAGCTATATTAGGTGGGTGGAGTGGGCTCCTGGGAGACCAAATCACAGCACATTAGCGCAATGGATAAAATCAACAGCTTCACCACTAATGGGTAAAAATAAGTGATCAAATCAATAGGATTCAATACTAGCGCGAGTCTAGCGGACAAAATCAACACTTATAGACAAGATCAAATGGATAGAATGAATGTGTGATGGGGAAAGTACCTCATGTGACATTGTTGCGATGAATGTGCTCTTTGCAAGATCTGCATCAATGGCAGCCTTCTTGGCAGCTTCAGTTTCCCTGAGCACGACCTGCATGTTTCCGACTGTCTTCGTCACAGACGCAAGGCGTTGGAGCATTAGGCACAGAATCAAAAGTATGGCAGCCACAAAGACGAGGAGAAACACCAGCCACAGCAAAACATAGAGTGGCGCTCCGGAGAGAACATCTACAGTGCACCAAATCTCATATTGCCTTGATGGATCACCCAGGTCAAGAGGTTTCCTCAGGGTGTGCTCCTCCCAGTCTCCGGACATTACCGAGGAGGGACTCTGTGGAGGGTACACCAGCTCTGCGCCCGGCAGTGTTGCATCCCACACCCAAACTCTCCTCGTAACCCCGGCCCATCGTCGAGGCCGGACCTGTCCCAGCACGTCCTCTATTATGTCTGATACGTCAAGAGTCACTGCTGCAAATCCTAAGCATGCACGGCTCTTTGCTTCCATAGATCGTACGCCCTTTGGACTATCATACACTGCAAGAAATGCCATTGATGACCTCTTCGCATTCTCCATCGTGAATGGACCAGTCATTGTGATTAACCCACTCTCCTTTGCTCTCATAAGTGGTAAGCGGAACTTAGAATCATTCAATAGGTCCATCCCTAAGACAATGAAATCAGGAACTGGCCCATCCACAAACGTAACGAGCGCCTGGCTCGCATCTCCTTCCACCTCTTCCTGCCATGAAGCAGAGCTATGACGTTCTCCTGCTATTGTTCCATTTCCCACATGCGGTGGTGATGATGGTGAAACTTGCAGGTTTCCAGCTGCCCGAACCCATAACCTGTTGCGAACATTACGAGTCCATCCTACCAGAGCATCTGAGAGTCTTCAACATACAGCCCACCGCCAATATCACACATACAACGACCAAACGCGTCCAGCCACAACAACAGCCAGCAGAGAATCAAAGACCTTCCCAATACAACAGAGGTGGGCTTCCTTTTTTTCCCCCCTCACACTTGACCCAACCCGCCCAACTTCTTGTTTAGTACTGCCCACCCTAGCCCAAGAATTTTATTTTCCACGTAAGATGACCCCACCCGCCCAAAATCATTTCTGAAATTTTGAACCCACACCGGACCTGCCCACCACCCGAAAAAAAGTCTTCAATCAGACCCACCCGCACCCATGAGAACATCATTAGCTGCCTGTACTTGGGACCTAACTTTTTCTCGCCCGCACACGCCCACGCCAGCCCATTACACCGTTACGATTTCACCAACACCATGACATTGAGGCAAAACATTACGAAATAAAACAATTTGATATTCAAAATGCAATAGCTCAAAAATTATCATTAACACAATGGCAGTTAAAACGAACTAACTTAGAAGTTTCCTTTCAACACAAGCAATACAGTGTTCCAAAAACTCCAAGACGGAGCCCGCTAGAAACCAATCCTATCAACATCGTCGCCAGCTAGGGTCACCGATCATCGCCAACATGTTCGCCTTGCACCACCCAGCAGCATCAATGAGGGCGGAGGCGGAAATTTGAAAGTCCGCAGTGAAATTAAGCAAATTCAAAAGTCGGAGCAAATCTAGCCGCCTACTGTGGCTAGATCCGCTCCCTCTTCTTTTAAAGGAGAAGGGCAACATCGGCCGAGGGGCAACACTTCTTTTTTTCCCACTTATTCTTGTTGGGTCTGGGCAACTGGACCTAGACCCTCTTCTGCGTCCGTGCATGTATGACCAGCAGGAAAACTGCAGTCCATTTGCCCTTTTCCACCAGCTTCACCACCCACTGGACTAGCCTTCCCTGAGCCCCGAAAATATCGGAGTAGGCGATGAACCAAATTCTGCAAGGCTGGGGCCATGTGCTGGTGGTTTAATGATGCCCATTCGTATGCATTTCATAGTTCTGCACAAGGGGAGGGAGGGGGGGAAGTGACGGGAGAGGGGGGGGAAGGNGAGGGGGGGGAAGGGGAGGGAGAGGAGGGGAAGGGGAGGGAGAGGAGGGGAAGGGAGGAAGAGGGGGAGGGGGGAATTCGGGGGGAAGGAGGAGAGTTGAGGTAGGAAGGAGAGAGTAGGGGATCCTCAATGCCCACCGGCAGAATGGACTGTCAGAGAGTCACACAAGAAACCAGTCAGTGTTTGGGTTGCAGAGAAAAAAAGTTGAGCAGGCAATGCTGGATAAGGAATCTAAGGACCCACCACGTCACCCAGAGTTAGTAATACCCCTAAGTTCATCAGTGGTCGACTTGACTCACACCAGTCCTGCAATCCTAGCAGACTTCGGTCCAAGCCCCTGTGGGTGTGCATTTACTATTTGTGTGAAGATCACACAAAACATAAACATTGATATAATCAACTGAGAGCAAGGGCCAACAGTGCACCCTCCTTGTGGAATGGAAGTTCCACGGTACGCATGGCAGCAGGTCCCAAATGCATTCATCTGCGACCAGCAGGTCCAAAGCCCGACCATACACAAGGGCCCCATGACAAGACATGCAAATGGCCCCACTGGAAGGTATGGGACACCTGGCTGAAATAACTGCCGAGGTTGTTCGAGACACCAAAGGTGGGGCAAAGTCGACATCCATCCTAGCTTTTGACAGTCTGACCGCATATCCACGGCTTATTAAGCTCCCTAACCTCCCTCGTGTGACACTAGGAGCATGCCTGCCAAAAGCACAAAGATTCTCTCCTCGTGTGCTTTTGAAAAACCCGGCCAACTCTGGCAGCTGTAGCCTATGGAACAAGACCTACATCTGAAGTTCTGAACCACCCTATAAAGCAATGACCATCCAGCAGTTGTACAATGTAATACAGCAATGACAAAATGTCCATAACTTATTACGCTCAAGAACCCCCTCATGTTATACCAGAACATGGCAGCGGCGGACAAGTGAACCAGACAAGTCCGGACACCGGACACTGGTTTTCCGGGTTTCATCCGAACGTCCGGATTTCCAGTAATTTCCGATTAATACAGACATGTCCGGATCAGCACTGCAAACGGATTGAAAAAAAAAAAAAAGAGTGCAAATACAAAGCGCTATACAGAGCACTGCAAACGGATTGAAAACAACAAAAAGGCCTGGGGTAAACCGGGGAAAATAGGCCCAACAGACACAAGGCCGTGCATGGGAGGTAAGCAAGTGGAGAAAATCTCTCTCTCTCTCTCTCTCTCTCTCTCTCTCTCTCTCTCTCTCTCTCTCGCTCACTCGCGCACAAAGAAATTGGATGGCAAGGACCAAGACGAGGAGGACAAGTAGGTGGAAGAGGACGAAGACGTCGAGGACCGAGCCGATGATAATGACAGGTATGACGAGGGCCAAGTTTTGAGAAAGAAGACGACAAAGATCCCCCCCCCAAAAAAAGACGGAAAAAGGGTATCACGTGGCAATTGCAAGGAAGCGAGTGGGGGAGGTTATAGCAAGTACGAGGAGCAGCAGGGGGACGACGAAGACATGGAGGAGGAGCGGAGGAGGACGAAGACATGGAGGAGGAGGAGGAAGGTCATGATAACGAAATGACGAGAGAGAGAGAGAGAGAGAGAAAGAGAGAGAGAGAGAGAGAGAGAGAGAGAGAGAGAGAGAGAGAGAGGAGTGAGCAGTAGGCCCCATGAAGAGAAAAAGACAAGGAGGGCGGCAAAGGAGGAAGACCAGAACAGCGTGCACGCACAAGAGAGAGAGAGAGAGAGAGAGAGAGAGAGAGAGAGAGAGAGAGAGAGAGAGAGAGAGCTGCTTGCGCTGCTCCTCGCTGGGCTCGCGCTGCCTTTGCTGCGCCCACTGCCATCCCTGCTGCGCCTGCTCGGCGTCTGCTCCTTGCCTGATATGGCCACCTTGTTGCCTTGCTTCTTCCTCCCTCTGACGATGGCGGTAGTGGTGGGCATGCAAGCTTGAATGTTGTTGTGGGAGGGGGGGCGGCCAAACTCGCAAGGTGGGAGGAGGAAGTCAAAGATTGCGCATTACCAGGCCGTGACGATGCAAGGACGACATTCAAACGGGCAGAAAACATGAAAGGAAGGAAACTTCCCACAAGCACAAAAAAAAAATTCCTGGCCCTACCGGATGCCCTCCAGGGCCAAAAAAAAATCTGTCGTATTTTAGGCTGGCGGCCCTGGGCGTGACAAAATGCCCTGGACCGCCAAAAAAAATTTGGCCGGTGGATAAGGGGTCTGGAATCCGAACACATTTGCCGGACAAACGGCACCGAATGGTCCGAATCGCAGCCATGTGCCAGAAGCATGTCTGCCACAAAGGTTCTCTCCTAGTGTATTCTTGAAAACCCCAGCCAACACTGGCAGGTACAGCCTATGGAACTAGACCTGCACCTGAATTACCTCGCAGTTATTCACCGCAATACAGCAATGCCCACTGCCATCGTCAAGCCATAACCGTATTTCATAGAAATCGGACAGCTACGACAGCATTTTCCAACAATGTGTCTTAGGGCATAACACTCACACTAGGACATTTCAGACTGATAATGGCACTCAGATGCATCCGCCATTGCAGTCCGACACATCCAAGAAACTCCTAGCGTGAAGGGAAGAGAGCTAAGCAGTAGACCCACCAGGGGCCACCACAAGCTGCAGTTCACAAAACAAATAAATGTTTCCCGTGTTCCATTTGTTTCCCATCAGAAAGGGTCCTCCTTTATTCCATCCTACAGTCATGTGGGAGAGAAAGGTAAGCACAGCAACAGCACCGCTTGACATTCGGGCCAAGTCACAGAAGCTGGGCCCCACTGGACTGTAATGATAACGGAGAGGGTCCAATTATAGTATGATGATGCTCCAGAAAACCATGCTTCAGCGGAACTTTCTTCAGTGAAGGGCCGGAAACACAGAACATAAACAAAGTTTAACAAACACAAGAACTCGTCGAGTGATGCTCCCCTCGAACACCTGTTTTTCTCTCATTTGAGAGAAACTGAGACCGTTTTCCGAACTTTTTTGGCCCAGGAAGTACACCCAAAAACACTGCAATCTAAGAATTCACCACAACAAGGAACGAGTGTTGTCAATTACAATAACTGTGACTAAAACCTGCTGAAAATACATACTGCTGACCTCATTACTGGGAAGGCCCAGAGTTCAAGGCCAGCCTGAGCAGAGGGCTGGGAGGTCCGCCCCTGCGCAGAGGTCTGCCTGGCCACATTAGAGGAGCACTCTCCTCTAAAGAGCAGCATCAAGCACCACTGTGCTCCTGGGTGTCGGGCAAAAAGCTAGGCAAGGGGACCAGCAACCTCCACAGCAGGCACTGGGCAGAGGCAGGAGGTTCGTTGAGGAGGAGAGGTCTGGTGGGAGCGAACGGGCCTCTGCCTGAGTGGCGCTTGTGAAGGAGGCAAATGGATTGAGAGACCAAGCTAGGTAGAGGCGCGTTAGCGGAATTTCCCAGTTTCGAAATCGGATATTATATTATGAAAGCTTTAGAAGCAAGATATACTCCGTGGGCAGCGTTGTCTTCACCACCAATAATTGAGACATTGTGTTTGTAGGCAGGTCACTGGTAGGCTAGCTTATGAACAGAATCTATGGACCCCGAACAGCATATATGGCGCTTGTATATATCGCATTGGCCAGCTTCTCTGAGAACGGACTGGCATTGCTTCAGAGCTCATTCGTCATTTGCAACGGATGACTGATTTTTTCATATGCGATCATTTGCCATGTCAATGAGTCAGTCATAGCCGGTCAATCACAACACACTGTGCGTGTGATTTGCCATTCATCTCCACCATACTTGTGGCACACTTGTGCGGTACGCTGCATGTTGTGCAGTTGCACTGTGCAATTCCCCAAAGAGTGGTGGGGTGTACAACAATTATTTCCCAAAAGGAAAAAAATGATTCCCTCAAATATGATTTCTGGGGTCCT